ACCTTTTTGTGGCCATTTTCAATAGAGGGATGCTGTGCAGTGTAAAGCAGCTGTAAGGTGTTGGTCTTATGGACAAAGCACTTCTCCTGTTATCTGCTGGTCATCAGGGACATTACAGATGTTTTTTGTGGCACTCGTGGCTATTGGGTAAGAATAGGGATAGGTACAGCAAACACACGATTGTTTTCTGTGATGTCCTTTCAGGCACCAACTGGAAGACAGCCATGCTGGTCCTCAGCCCCTTGGCATTCATACTGGGATTAATAATACTGACACTCAACGTTCATTACAACAAGTAAGTGAGATTAAGGATCATTCTGTCTGCCACTTCCCTGTCCAGCATTTCAAAACCAGAGTCTTGACCTCGGCACCCTTCCCACACTTCCCACACCTCAAGTGTCTGGCCCTGAGCAGATGGCTCTGCTCACCCATGAAGTCACCCTTGATGATTTCTCCCTCCCACTCACTATCCCACCCAAAGGCAGCCGCTAACGTTGGCTTCTCTTCGCCTACACACCTTGCACCACCCCTGAAGGTTTAGGGATTTTGAGCACCAGGGTTGCTGATCAAGTTCACGTGGAAAAGCAGCCAAGAGACAGGCAGGTGCAGTTACGTACCCTCTTCTCTTCACCTAGGAAGAAGAAAATCCTCTCTGCTCTCAAGAGCTCCCCAGCCAACAGCAGCAGAGCTGACCTGCGGGAGCCGTCTCCCTTACGAAGAGGTCCCCAGCCGTACCTTCCACCGTCACGCTCCCCTTCCTTGAGGCGTGGAGAGATCCTCATCGAGTGGAAAGATGGGACTGTCACCCCTCTTTTTGATAATACCAATTACCAAATGGACTAGCTCCAAAATACCAGAGCTGTTGTTCCACCACCCCGTGCCACTCTTCCCACCAGGAAAAGTGCCACCACAGCCGATCTCCTCCCTAGCCTTGCCGTTTTGACAGGGAGTTGTCAGCGCCATTTGGCTTTTTTTAACACTTGAGAACAATCTTGCACAGCATGAGGTTGAAGCAAGCAGAGCAGATTGTTTGGTTTGTATAGGCACACGCTGCTTAGCTCTTCCAGAGCTGATTTAACCTGTAACAAAACCCAGATTTATCTAAATGAAGCCGAGACTCTCACCACCTGCAACTGCCCATTGCCCTGAAATTCTAGAGTTACTGAGTATATGAGAGCAAATTCTTGGAGACAAGGTGTAAGGTGAAAAACGCAAGTCCTGATGATCCTTAAATCCCTTTTAAGATAAAACTAGCTGCCAACAGACACAGAAGGCTGTCAGTTACTTTGTCAGTGTGAGAACATAACTAATAAGCACTGCTTTCAGGACTCAGAGATTAAAGAGTCTCCTTGAAATACCTGCCAAAATACTCCCCTCACTAAATTATCAATTAAGTAACAGCAAGTCATTTCTCTAACTTGAAAAGCAGCACTCCATTGTCCTCTCTGTTCATCACTGCAGGAGTCCTGCTCAGAGAGTATGTTTCTCTCAAAATATTTCCGTATTTAGGATGTATTAGACCTTACTACAACACACATCCTTTCTTTATGTAGAATGACAAGTAACATTGGTGCTGCTTGTTGGGGATATTACACTATCCAGCTACTTTATGTCTCTGATTTCCTGTAGTCATATGTAATAGCCAATGTACTGCTCCCATCTAGAGCAGCAGTACGGATTTTTTCTAGGAAGAAGTGAGGCACTGTTTTCAGCCTTTACACTTCTTGAGCATCATTAGCTGTGACCGTCACACTTATTCTTGACCTCTCCTCAGAGCAACTTGTAATGTCTTAGTGCTTTCCTAATAGTCATGAATTTATGCTTTCCTTCTCTCAGATCTTGTGCTGATGTAAACCACGATCACAACTATAAAACAGGAATTATCTGGTGAAATAAATACCAACATCAGGAAAATACAATTAGGAGCTTCATATTTGTATGAACTTGTGTATTTGTTTGGTAAAGAAAAGGAAACCACATACTAACCTGTCTCTTCCTCAGACTTGAAACAACACTTTTCACTTTACATAAATGAAGTTGTTGTGCTATTTCAGTGGAGTCTGGACTTCTCTAGAGTTTGATTTTATTTAACTTAAGGCAGAAGTAAGGCCTCTACAGGGGTTTAAAATATCCGATTTTTTTTTTTTTTTATGTTTCTTTTTAAACACAGATCCACAGCCTGGTAAAAAGTCACGAGATATTATTACAATCAAAAACCTAGCTGGCCTCAAGCAAGAAAATAAAAACTTTATTGGTTCAGTTCATAAAAATCATAGGGGTTGGAAACAAATGTCTTCCCCAGACAGATTATTCCAAAATTATTTACTGGAGGGTTTCCCACACGCTTCTTGGGAAAGTATTTTGCTGCTAGACATGGGCAGAGGAAGAACTCTTTCTTCACCAGTGAGCAGTGAACACAAACAACACAGAATTAATTTCTGACTTTCCAGTGTTTCCACTCTAAAACAAATCCAAAGACTTTTGGGTCAAGTTTCCAAATGCATAAGCATCATTTTACACACCAAATCCATGGGAATACATTCTGTACATCAATTGCTCAAGACGCAGATGCAGTGCCTCACCAATTACCACAGTTGCATCCCTTGTGCCTTTTCCTACCACAATGAAGGTGCCCGCCTTTGAAAGTCTGTCCAAGGAGCACATCACCTTACAGCGCACAGCACTGGTTTCCCTCCAAAACCCTGACCCACTTTGGGAAGCTAACACGTGTATGCAGTGCCATTAAAATGCAAATGCTTCCTTGGAGTTCAGCTGATGTTGTGCTTTCCAAAGCAGCAAGTGCTTATGTTCATTACCGCTGAATGGGCGGAACAGATGACTTGTTAATGACTCTCTATAATTCATACTTAATAGGCTAAACTTGCTCATAAACATGAAGGCAGTAACACCATTGTTTACATAGCACTGATTAAATGGTGGCTCAAACAACAGTGAAAAAATAAGACTGTGAAGCAGCACAGGCTTTTAACTATTTTCTCCCCCTCCCTTTGAGTGGTTGTTATATTTAGGTTATTTCTCACTGGTTTACCGACATCAGATGCTAGAGACCAAATTTTCCAAGGTATGGACAGGGGAGCTGCAGGTGTGAGTCTTCATCAGGAGAGATCTTAAAAAGCATGTTAACTAAACGTCCATCAGGAAAGACTCCAATTCTGCCTTGGGGCTGGACCAGGTGACAGTGGGAGACACCTTCCCTCTTCTGCTTCTAAATCTAGCTGAGGAACACCCAGAGCAATCACACAACTTACGTGCTGTTAACTCTCTGCCCTCACCTGAATGCAATGCTTTTAAACAGTGTTCAGAATCAAAATAAAACCTGACTGTAACATGGAGGAGCACTGAAATTACTCGTGTGCTTGTACATAAGTATTAAAAGCCCTCTTATAATGCATCCTTTTTTATGTGTGTGTATATATACACAAAAAAGGATGCATTGTAAGGGGGCTTTTATAAATCATTCTACAGGAAGATAACAGCATGAGGAGCGAGACACCACTGTCAGGGTAGTACTAACGTTACTAATATATGCTGCACCAAAGGATGAGTGCTGCGTAACTGGAAAGTAACGCAATATTGAACTGCTGCCCATATTTCTCAGACCATTTATGCTTCATCTCTGGTGTCACAGGTCTTCTCCAGGGCTGATGTGATGCCGATGAGCCTCATTTTACTCCCACAGGAAAGAGGAAGACAAAATGCAAGTGGAAAGAAACCACTTTTCTCATATGCTGATTTGCTTTGTGAGGTCCAAGTGCCTAAGCAGCAAAGGCTAGAGGTGATGTAGGGAAGAAGAGACAATTTGTTGTCCTCCAGAGTTCCCTGGGATTCAGAAAACCTCATTCCTCACCTAAAAACATTAATAATGCCATCATGCTTTTTTGGAACTTATGTACCAAAACATCCAAAGGATTATGAACCATTACTAACTGAACATACATAATCATGCAGCATGCTAACAACCTCAGCTCCCAGTGACGTCAACGACAAAAGAGAGGTCCACAGGAAAGCTCCTGCAGGCAGGCTCCTCAGTACCATCACCGGCTACTGCAATCATCCAGCACGAGTAGCCACAGCAGAGCATGGACAGGGCACATCGCCCCGCTGACCACACACTGGTGTGGACTGCAGCTGCAGAAACACAGATGCTATCAAATGGACACAAAACTGCACGTTAGCTTGGGTATTCTGTGCAGAAAATGCACTATTAGGCGGACAGATCTCCCTTTTCCAACCCCCCTAAATAATGTATAGCCAAGGTGTTTTTTAAAGAGCAAAAGAGACAAGAAAGAGGCAAAAGAAGAACTTAAAGTTCACCATTTAAACACTGTACCTCAAGTGTTTACTAAGACTCCTGGGATGGAAGATGTTTTCATAACAGTACATTAGTGATGTACATAAATTCATGACACAAACAAACAAGACCTGAAATGATTTGACAAGTTATCACAGCATATCAGTGGAGGAGTTGGGAACAGAGCTACCGCTTCCCCATTTGAAATGCAAGGTGCGACTTCTGCAGTGAACGTTTTGTTATTAAAAATCTCCATATGCTCATTTTCTCAACACTGTAATTCTACATCTGCAAGTCAAAAAATACAAAGTGTTTGATTTTTCTAAAAAAACATGTGGTTGTTCAGCACTCAAGGGAAAAAGAAGGGGGGAAAAAAGAAAAGGAGACAGGGACAGAGGAAGTCTTTGTTAGCTCTAGTTTCCTATTCAGACATCTCTGGCTCATGGTTCAATCAGACCACACTTTTTTTGCGTTGGCTGGGGTAGACAAAAGCACAAGCTCTTTAAAAGCTCCAAGTATCTTCACTAAATTTCTGTAGATTTAAAAAACCAAAATCTACACTTCTGCAGCCATGTAGTTCTTCCCCTGTTTTTTTTT